CATGACCCAGCCAAGAATACCTAATCGCAATATCCCGGGCGCCCGACTCGCAACGAAAACAGCGAAGCCAAACAAAAGAAAGTTGATGGAACTATTGGAACAGATATCAGGGTTGTGGTAAGGAGCTTACTCGTCGTCCTTCTTGCCCTTTTTCTTCTTGCCGCCATGGCCGCTGGTACCAGCATCCTTCTGGAGGTGCACAACCAACCGTGTCCATGACTCCTCCTTGTCCCACTCGAAGCCAGCCAGGTATGGGTTGTCAAGCTCATCATCGGCCTAATGGGATCCTAGAATTAGTTTTCTACTCATCATACATCTGGCGTGCTATTCCTGGGGAGGCACATACCCGCTTTTTGTACGCCTTGTAAATCGCATCCATGGCATCCTTGATCGTAACACCCTTCATGTTCCGTGCCGTTACCTCCATTCCTAACGGGAAGTGAAGGTCAATCTTCTTAACCGGCGGTTTCGTCAACATGACTTTCAATACGCTGGAGTCCTCGACTGTGGTCGGACTCTTGTTGATTTTCCTGATTGACATATTAGCTCCAGAAAGGAGTCAATAAACAAGACACGTATTCCAGAATGTCCTGGAATCAAGTGTAGTATCCAAGCTTACCAGCCCGTCTTTTGCGTCTCAATCGCAATCTGCAGCTCAATACCATCCTTTTCTGGATTGTGACGTCAGCGTCTTGTTATTGCATATCGGCCAGCAACCCTTGGGAGCAAAGTCACAAGCCATTGGGTACATTGGTAAGACGCCTTACCCAAGTCATTGATGTTCATTACACCAGCTGCGCTGGAGCTGGCCCTTCTATGGCCCTTCTCCTTCGGCGGTGACGATGACAAGCCCTGGACGGCGGAGTCAACCTTGCTAAGTGGTTCCGTCATGTTGGTGATTGTGTGAGTGTGCTGTTCAGTGAGCTGAAACGGCCAACAAGGTCGTGCGGGTAGCTTGAGCTGAGCTTGAGTCAGCTATAGTCCAATGGCGTCGAAAAGTGGATGGTGATGCTTGCGAGAGCTGATATCCTAGTATAAGACGAACCTTTGATGAAAGTAAGTGGTTTGTAGGCGAAGAGTGTTTAAAGATGAAATGGAATGGAATCAAGTGATGATGAAAGGAAGAGAAGAAGAAAGGAGAAAGGGAGGGAAGGAGGGGAAGAAGAGGGGAAATACATAGTAGGACCCTGGCGTATTCTGCGGCCTGAGGTGCTCAACTTGTTGGAAATGCCCTTACTCTTTCGTCAGACCGGGCGGGGTAACTTGCCATCGAGTGTACGGAGTACTCTCGCATCAACACTCCGTACAAAGCTACCTACCTCGGTGGTACTCGACGGGACATAGCCTCACCCGATCGCGTGACTGGGAGGAGCTGGGCATGGAAGACGGGCATTGGTACCGGCATCGAACACTAGAGCACAGAGTCATGCATGGACACTTGATACAGTACGGAGTAGAGGCGCTGCGGCACTGGGACAACACTAAGCACCAGGGACTCAAGCCAACACTAGGCGTAGGCGGCTCCCTTGATCAGTCGATGGACTGGGACAGTTGAACCAGACATCGATTGATGGTTCAATGCCAGCCCTGGGCACTAACAGGGGCGGTACGATGGAGCTCGGTGAGGGTCCATGTCAGTGGACTCCAGCTCCTTCAGTGGGCGGCTTGGGTGAGTGATGGCCAGGTGCAGCAACCGCACAGTTGACAGGACACTGGCTCGAGGCCCCATCTGGCTTAGCGTTGGGTCTGCTGCAGCTATTTGTGCGCGATCATCTGGGGTACAAAATCCGGGGAAGCCTGTCGCCCGACCCACTGCCAGAGCTGTAGGGGCGCTCAGCTAGCTCAGAGACCTGTTGCCTCCCCGAGCATGACGACGTTCGAGGGGCTTTCCCAAATAGCTGTCATCGAGATGCATCGGTGAAGCTTCAGAAAGGCTGCAAAGGGTGGGAAGTGGAAAGTGGGAATCTGGCGGTCCTGGACGACAACGGGATGCTTGCAGGGCGTGGCACGACGGCCGAGGCAAGAGTGTCCAGTCTGGTGGCATGACATGGGCCTTGGGGGGGAGCTCAGCGAAACGCGAGACCGACCAGTTGACTGGCCCCATCAGCCCGAGTTGACCTGCGGCCTCATCAGGGCCTCGATGTCCCCTCTTTGCCATGCACTCACTCCCATCCTGCTGCATCTAATCTCGATCAACTGATGCCTCTCCAGCCCATCTCGCCTGTTGCCAGCGCTCCTGGCGGCTTCAGGCCATTGTCAGTCAACACTGCAAAGCATGCAGCCAGCCTTTGTGTCATTCACCCAGTGGCCTGGGCCTGGGCCGCCAGACAAGCTGGAAAGTCAATCAGTCCTGTATGGAGCCTATTCAGCATAGTATTCCATGTCGGCGTGGCTTCACCCCTCAGGTCGATCACGTTGCCAATTTGCCGGAGCCAGGTGTCCGCACAGTGCAGTCATCGTCCAGTAGTTGACGCCAACATGGCTGAAACCTTGTCCAGCAATGTGGCCTCGGACGGACTTGGGCAAAGCTGCATCCATTGGCCCAACATTGACGCCGTCCCCGCGTGGCATGTTGCTGCCATGGCATCTCGGCAGTGACCCCTCCAGTCATGGGCGGGCAATGCAGCAACCACCTCGCGTGCCTGGCATGCGCCGACATCACTAACTACTCCTCATCCATAGCTTCAATTTCAAGCTTTTGCCTGGGCTCTCCGCCTAACGTTTCACTGTTTCTCGCCATCGATGCCGGCCAATTCGTCGCGAAAACTTGCTCGCGTGCTGTCATGTCACTATGGGATCATACCGGACTCACCTTGCCTATGACGAATGCAGCGGTGGATCCCAATGGCACCTGACAGACCGAAAGTGGAACCTGTCGAGACCTCGAGGCGGGAATCGACTCGGAGAATCGGTTGACCGAACATGCCACCCCAAGGCCCTCCTAGTCATCTGACGGGAAGATGAAATTGAGCAGCATGGCCTAGTTTTCCGGTATTTCCTGATCCCTTATTTGCATGGGCTATTCAGTCGGCCGACGGAAATGGCACCGGGACTTTGATATCACTATCCGTTCCGCACGATGCGTGTTACTCGATGAGTCCATTCTGGTGAAACCATAACGCCATACTATGCGTCTTGGATTGGGTAAGCTGTTTTGTGGTACGATACTACGATAAAAGGGGAAATTAAAAAGAAAAGAAAGTATGGTTACGAACCAGTCACCCGAGCAAGAGTCCAGCAGTCTCCTTGCATTAAACATGCTGTGTTAATATCGTCCACATCTCTGAGGTAACTCGCAGAAGTGGGGCCTTCGGTCGATACGATGATACTCGACTCTGCTACCCTACAGCTCTCTTAAGACACGATTTGTCAGTCTTTCTGGTGAGGGACCAGACTCCAATCGACATAGAAGGAGTGCCAAAGACGATATCGGGTGATTGATTGAATGGCTATGCTTGAAGGAAATCATGTGTTTTTGTGGTTTGCCTGTAAATGGCTTGTGGCACTGGGATGAATTCTGTTTCGAATCGGAGCATAGTTCTTTTCGGAGCCCAGAGTGGAACGAGATCACCTTAAAAGCTTGACTTCACAACCTCTCACCCGAACTTTGCAGCACCCATAGACAGCGACAACCATCATCAGGTGCGATGATGTTGAACGAAGAAACGCCGCCAACCCGAAGAACATGTCCCCGATGGTGGGCGTTTCAACCCTTCTGGCCACGTCCTCGGTGGAGGGGGTGCTTCAGGCTCGCGAGTGGCAAACAGACGTCGTGTCGGAAAGATATCGATTCCCAGCCTTTTATATCGCTGAGCGTTTGATGTCCAGTATGTCGGAATCTGGCCGAAAGCTTAGTCTGCCATGGTTGCATGAAAAGGGGTAGGGAGAATCTGCTCGAGATAAGCCACGCGGAGACGGGCAACGCGGCCTTTGGAGCCTCAATGTCAAGATGACGAGTGAGAAGTGCGGCTCAGAGTCATGATGGCCCATTACGGTAGCTGGCAATACGATGGATGAGATGAAACGAGCCCTTTGAATACGATTGGGACGTCCCCTTTATGATATTAAGTTTTTTCTTGGCTTTTTCCTCGTTTGAATTTCGCGATCTCGAGTCAATCTCTTGACCAGAGACTAGTGGCTGGGCCGCCAGGGGCCACCTTGACAGGGCATTACCGAGGGGGTTGCGTCACGTTTCGTCGAGGTGGCGGGCTCGAGCAGCGATGACTTAATGACAGTGCTCCGCGTGGAAGAAGATGCCATCTGGACATCTAGGGCTGCAAGGACGAGAACCGCAACGTGCGGACACGGGCACCAGACGTTTGGGCCCTTCATCAGCCGAAGGCGATGAGATCAATTGATGTTTCACTGTCTCCCTTTGGCGCGGCCTCTTGCGGTGGCAGCCACTCACCTGTGGCAGCCGACGGTCGCGCTTGCCCACTTTGTCATCGGGACGCGCAATTCACGGGCAGCGCAACGTCAGCCCTGGCGTTGCCTTCAACCCAGAAATGGACCAAACCGGGCAAGAGCCAGCGCAAAGACGGCTCTCCGGACCCATCGTCCACTTGCAACGACAAATGGCCGCGACTGGACTGACCAAGACGACGACGCTTTTCCCCAGTCCGCGTCCTCCTCCGCTGCCCCCATGATGCGGCGAACTCTTTGGTTCCGACAGAAAAGTCTGCTAGCCGCTTCATGCATGACCTTTAATTATCCTTCTCCATTGCGCCTGCGACTTGCGTTCATATCCATCCATTTGCCGGCCGAGATTTAACATCTCGACTCTTTCCATTCGTTCCATCCCACTTCGACTTCCGCTTCCATCTTTCGACAAACTTCGTCAGCCAATTTTTTTTTGCTCCGGGACGCCTGGGGTCCTCTCCATTTTTCTTTGCCCTCCAACATTGAACCCTGTCTTTGCCAGTCCTCCACTGACTGAGACTCTCCCCCCGAGCGACCGATCGCAAATCCACACCCAATCCCTCCTCCAGTCATGATCAGATATGCCACCGCCGCCTGGCTTACCTGACAGCGTCAGGAGACCAGGGGTATTGTATACTTCGCCGTACAAACCTCCTCTGCCGACTCTCCCGTCGCGAGTATCGCAACAAGCCAAGCCCACAGAAGTTCAACTGCCACCACTCATCGCGGGGGCGTTGAATGCCGCCTTTGCAAAGGCCCTGGCTGACGGACTCGACAACGAGCTTCTGACTCACTACTACATCAGCGAGCAGAAATTCCCCGTAAACCTCGATCGTGTAATCGATCGCCTCTTGTCCAAGTTCACCCTGGAGCTGTGGGACGAGCTCTATCAGTTTTACCAAGAGGCAGGGTCCGAGCCTTCGCGACAAGTCACCTTGCTCTTTGAGGGTCCGATCCGCCAAATAATCTTGATCCTCAACGGCCCCGAGGCGGCCAAGTGTGTCCTCGACAAACTGGCGCCCGGCTTGTCGCAGAGGAAGGAGTCATGGTCGACGAGTGCAACTGGCATCGACCTGGCTCTGTCCTTGCAGCTCCTCTGTAGCTATTGGCACAGAGAGATGCCTTCGCAGTCTCCGGGAGGCTCACCGGACGACATTGCCCGCAACCTCCACACGCAAATCATGAACGGGAACTCGGCACAGAACCTCATCGCTTCTATTCGTAATGTCTTAATGACTCCACACTATGTTCAGGTTCACATCACCGAATCCGCCATCTGGAACCTTCTTTTGAAACGACCATTTCCTCCCCCCGCGGACGGCTTCCACGTTGTCCAGTTCAAATTCGATTGTCAGCTGTTTGGACCTCTCGACGGAATTGCTGACCCTCAATTGGTCAACATTGGCTCGCTGCCGGCCATCACGGGCACGGCAGAAGAGTGCGTGTATACCACGGTGGAAGAGTATATTGAAAAGGCATGGCCCAAGTGCGGGGCGATAGTATTGAAATGTCTCGAAGAAGCTGTTGGCAGCGCCTCATTATCCTGCCAGCAAGGCGAACCCATGTCGGGTCTATCTATATGGGACGGAAGCGACGAACTCGGTCCCTTCTGCCCTGGCTTGCGACTTCTTCACGTCGAGTTGGAGAACTCAGCGGTTCGACTGACTGTCTCTGGCTGGTCTCATAATATGATTGAAATATTTCAGCAAATGTGTTGGCTGTGTGCTGCATTGAGCGCGTCGCCTTTCCCGGGCACACTATCAGAATGTGTCACCTCCATATCCGAATATACATATATGAACGATTCAATATATGTCAACTGCAGTCTCGAGCACCGGCCTGTCCCTGACGGTGATGGATTACCCTGGTTACAGCGGATGCAGGGAGCCGCAATCGCAAGCGGATTTCCCGTGCGTGGACTCACCTCCACGCAACTTTGAGGCCATGTACAACAATGAAATGACGAAAGATGACCAAAAATGGGACGCATAGAGTCTGGAGTCTACGTCTGTAGAGGATACATCTGTATATTATATATGTGGTGTTTTGGATCAGCTCATACGCTCAGGGAAAGCGTTTCATACCATAGGTACATATTGCATAATACCCCAATATTGAGGTTCAAATAAACTTCATGTTCTCTGCCCAGTGAGCAGTCCCACTTCAGCGTTTTCTTAGCCAAGTAGATGCCCTCAGTAGTGAACGCTGAATCTGCCGTCCAAGGAGATACACGGCTGATCAGTAAGGGCCGTGCTAGTGCTTAGTATTGCGTCCTCGTTGAACTGATTCCTAATGCCATGGCCCAGGTAGTGTATTACATCATATCCGTATCCTCCAACTTGAATGACTGCTTATGGCAGGTTTTATTTTGCTCTTTGAATTCCTCATCATACACTCCAAAGAGATTTTCTTTTCTTAGGAGACCCCAGGTTCAGTAAAAGCCGCAGGAAATATACCAGAAATGATTCATGGGTTTTCTATACTAAAATCTCAACACTCCATGTTTCCACGGTAGGACCCCATGACATGCCAAGGACAACCGCGGGCACTCAATAGCACCAGCATTGTATTTTCTGCTCCTTGCCAATACGTACATACCTAGTACCTGGTTAGAAACACCGATAGTTCCGAGAGGCTTTATCATTAGAGTATCATGTTACTATTCGGGCCTCGGCTAGAATAGGTTCTCAAATTGGTTGACACTGCCCGTACTAGGCTCCTTTAACAGACTCAGCGTAGTGCGTGCCATGTTTTTGTAGGCTTTAAACTTCGATTATATTTTAAGGTGTTAGACATTAGTATATGCCTTGTGCGAATAGTGTTTGTTCTTTCTGATAAAGGGTTGGATCAGCAAATAAGCTAAAACAACACGGACAGCTAGTCATAGGCATCTATAATTAAAGAGTGATTACGTAGATGCTACTTGGGGTAACACAGAGACACAGCCTTCGACTGGAATTGTCATGAACTAAACACAAAACTGGAAATTTATAAGGACAGCTTCATGTTGACTTTTAGAGCACTTGCATAGGAGCAGAGCATGGTTTGTCGGTTAGCCAAATGTCTTGTTTGCATTCACCCAGTCCATGTGTAGAAGACTACGTAGCAAAGTAGAACCCCTTGGAAAGTTGGGGAGTTTTAGCAGCAATCTAACATCTTTCAAAATATGCAATATAATGACCTGGTAGGGTAGAAAGCTCAGGGTGTCCAACTGGCCATGCGGAGAGCTTCCATGTTACATTACGCTCAGCCACCACCCAGGCTCAGCCTTGCTGATGTCTTGGAGTAGCACAACAGATGAAGTAGCCAGTGTATATTATTCTGCGTGTGCTAGACTTCCTATATACCTTCGTGACAATCAGTCTCGGCCTGACAATGCCCAACCATTCATGCACACTCGCCTCACTTGGCATCCCGCCTTGCCTCTAGTGATGGGGCAGTGCTTGGTTTACCACTGTCCGATCCCTTTTTAAACACGGTCACGTCTCTGGTTGTTTAGAAATATTGTAGAGATCATTCACCGCAGCAGACAACTTAGCCGACCCGAAATGGCAGAAGTAGTAGGTCTTGTCGCCAGTGTCGTAACACTTGGCGAGGTAGCAGCCAAACTATCCAAACTCAAGACTTTTTGGAAAAGCATCCAAAATGTTCCCCAAAGCATCCAAAACCAACTGGAGGAACTCGAAGCTTTGAATGCTATTATTACCGAGCTCGAAGCTGAGCAAGATGTTGTGCAAAACACACCAAGCGGAACCTTGAGCCTGCGCTACTGCAAGAATGCTGCGAAAGAGCTAGAGGATCTGATGCAAACGCTCGAGAGAAATGTCAAGTCGAACAGAAGGCTGCGGAGGTCAGTTACGAAGGTCAAGTTTGTTTTAGACCAGGACTCGGTCTCGAATGCTCAGAAACAGCTGTACCATGCGTTTCAGCTGCTTCAGTTTGCTTTGACTCTACATACGCGGTTCGTGAGCCGTTTATTTTTTTCTCTTTTCAAATTCCCTGAATGGAAATTCATCTCCTTTCCGCAGACTGATTGCTAATATATGGCGGCTGCATGATAGATCTATGACGGCACGGATACCCGAGCGCACAGCTTCAATCTTCTTTGACCGACGAAACGAACCGACACGTAATACAGCCTCAAACACAAAAGGCAGTCCCTTTAGAGCCCGAGAAAATGTTGAACAGGACAGCTCTAGTTCTCTACTAGAGAGGCAGACGTTGGAGTGGGTGCCGGGTTCTTTGTTTGGCGGTGTTAGAACTAGCAGATCATCACATTCTATCCAAAACCAGGATGGTCTTGGTGAAAAAGTACAGAGTAAGTAATTACATGCTGAATGGGCGAATGTGTGCTTGTTTCTAACCAGTTAAAATAGTTACAAAAGTTCGATTTCGACTCCCCTGGTGGCTCTCGCAGACTGTCTGGGACATGCTAGCTTGTCGATCAACTCATGGTATGACGTGGAAGATTTCAAGCTGGAACATTCGCCCATGGGGCAGCCCAATCTTTAGGGCTGCTTTATACGGCGACTTTGAGAAAATTGTAGAGCTTATATCTGATGGCGAGGCATCGTTGTATGATTGCGATGAAGACGGACAGACGTTGCTTCATGTAAGTTCCCTCCAAGAGATACATACAAAGAGTATATTTTAACCAACAGATTTCTAGTACGCAGTTGAAGCTGCCAACTTTGAACTAGGTGTCAAGTTGTTGTTGTTGAACCGTTCTATCCTAACAAGAGCCTCGAATATTGGCTGGCCCACCCCCCTTATATGTATTAACTCGGAGTTCCCGTTAGAAGCCCTGAGTCTTGAATACTTCAAAACTATACTCGGATGGGAAGACTTTACTGATTACTGCACCCAGCTCAACACTACGGAAGAGTCGTTCGAACTCGGATACTGGATTTGGATTGTCCCTGGCTTCTTGGCGCTCCTTGAGAACGAGACGCCCCAAAGTTTCATCGATTTGCCTCTGGATATTCAATTTTACTCTTTCGAGTGGATGCATATTAATACAGACGTCTTGAACTATGTTCTTTCTAAAAACCGGACCACAATAGAGGGTCTGAAAGCGACTCTAAACAATCCACGATTGCAATCATTGAGCGACTTCATTTCCACCTTTATATGCCGACAAATTGAATGGAGTGAGAGATTTCCCGCTCTGAAGAAGTCTACAAGTTGGCAAGAGCTCGCTAAAGATATGCTATCGGACACGTCAATTAACAGCCTTACCAAGCCGTGCGAAGAACTGATTATGCCCGGTGTACCGCCCTATTCTGATGTAATGACTTGGCGTGTTATGACTCCGTTAACAAACAGCGCCAGGAGCGTCATGGCCCGGCTGACAGGGAGACATGGGGGAGCCTTGGGTCCAAGGTGCACGAAGCAATATGAGAAGATTCTTATTAGAGTCGTAAGACTCTTCCTGGAATCTGCTTCAGAAGCCGCAATCGATCTCGAGGAATATGGGCGGAGGGAATCTGAACTTTTGGTACCCTACGATTCTTATTATCGTAATTGGCCAGATTTCATCACAACCCCAAGTACCCCATACCTGGTTTCGATCAAGTATGGACCGAGACCCGAAGACTGGGACTTTACATGGGATCTCCTAGTTGAAGAATTTGCTGGTGAATTCTGGGAAATGTTAGAGAACCAACCATTACACATTCCGGGTGCGTGGGTAGACGACGGATAAGTTTGGAGTAATGTTGGACGACTCAACTACTACACTCGTGACTTTTTCGTGTCTTGCGGCGCGGTTACACTCTCAGCGATATCGAAAGCTCAAGTCTCTATTTGGCACGAAAGACTTAGTTTTGTTACAGAGCAAATAGCATGTTGTTTTTCGCATTATAGAGTACAGCTGGTTGCCCAACGTCATGCGCGACGCCAACAAAATACACAAACCTGATACCCCGTAACAACCAAAGTTTTGACCCATGATGGATATTTGTTTTGCTGTCTGTCATTTCCTATTCCGCATCTCAGGGTAGTTCCAGAGGCGGTGATGATTAGACAAGCTTTTACTTTTACCTCGTGGTGAAAGTCGCCAGGAACACATAGCAACTTATTTACACTAAAAGTCCTACGTAAGAGTGAAGAAAATCTCAAAAAAGACGATGCTGACATGAGAAAGTTCTATGCTAGTTTCTTAGTCTGGAATGAGACTATCTTTGGTGCATGAGAGGCGACTCCCGCCTGGTATAACGTATCGTCATCTGCACTGTTATACGCAAGACGGCGCCGGTTAACAAGCCGACTTTGAGGCATTGCAATCAATTTCTGTAACATCTTCATAATTCTTTTCAATAAACTCAATGTCCAACTTGCTTTTACTAGCCAGCTAGTGTATTTAAATAAATAAATGTCCAACTTTGCTGGTGCCGGGTAACAACCACGAGCAGAGGTGTACAGCCAGGAGGCAGGTATATCCGTTTAAACTTGGAGCGAGAACTGAAGGTAGTTGATACTTCTTTTAGGACACAAGATGGAAGTGTCCCAGCCACAGTCGTGTGATTAAATCTCGGCAAGAACCAACATATCACATTATTCAATTTTGACCAGCCTCAAAGTCCAAGCCTCCAACTACTTTACTAAGAGGGAATGACGGCCAACAGCTCGAAATGCAGATCAAGTCACATCCCCAGGTTTATTGCCATCTGCCCATCCAGCAACCACCTTCCAACAAGATTTGCGCTTTCTCCCCGGCAGCCTCGGTAGCAAGGATAGCCAAATCCCGAAATGTATATCCTCAATCCTGACGCCTGTCCCGGCGCGCAGCCCTCCCCAATGTACCTCTCGGCGCTCCCGCTTATCAAACACGACTTTCATAGCCATCCCCAACCCGCCGACAGACTCAACACCTGGCGTCAATTCCATGAGGGCCCTCTGGATCCAGCAGTTCTGCCATCCATAATGACAATGCGCCACC